TTCATAAATTTTATTTGATGTGCGCAATTGAATTATTATTTATGATTGCAGGTGTTTGTCCCTGTTATGGAACGTCATCATTGGCTTCTCGTCGAGCTTCAGCTCCCATCCCTGAAGACGATATTATATGACATCATGTTGAATTACATACCATTGTCTAATTTGAAAGATATTATTTGTAAGGGATGGAGTGCTCATTTGGCTAAATACATGGATGTGATTGATTATTGGACTAATTCTGGAAACAAGAAGCCAAAAAAGTTCAAAGTTACAATGATGAGAGATGAGACAGCGCCATAATAAACGGTGTGAGCCAGAGGGGATTGTGGTCTTCTTGTATGCATGTGCTTGGAACGTTTGACGACATGAGGTAAATAGTTTCTACCTCCCACAGATAGAGATAGAGGTGTAGTAGGGTTGTGGTTTCATCATTTTATGGTTAGAGCGATATATTCGAGACATTGTCTACCTGCATCCGCGTGCTGAAAGTGTGCATAAACAACCATTTGTTATTGGTAAGTTTGAGCAAGTGTTGTTAACATATATACTCTTTGTTGATTTGAAAATGTTTGGTTAAGTACCTAGAATTCAATAATTTGTTGTTTGTTGGTTTTAGATGTGTAGAAAGTGTTGTTTGAGCAAATGTTTGGTTTATGCAGGTTAATCCTGAAGTGAGCTGCGTGAAATTTGCTGTCTGGGCTAATTGTATCAATGTTCTGTTGATTTGTTTTTTTAGATGTGTAAATAAGATTTTTTTTTTGCTTGTTTAATTGATTTGTAAAAGTTGATTTGTTGTTTAAGAAAATTTCAATCTGCATTATGTTGAAGGCAAAAAAGACCTGTTGAAGGTCCACTTTCGCAATGCGAAAGTCAAATTCGCAACGCGAAAGTCAAATTCGAGTTACGATTGTTGCGAAAGTCAAATTCTCGTTGCGATTTTCATGTTGCGAATTTTACTTTCGCGTTTCGAATTTGACTTTCACAATAATCGCAACGCGAATTTGACTTTTGCAATAATCGCAATAAAAAATCGCAACGTGAATTTGACTTTCGCGTTGTTAATTCAAGGAAAAAACCTTAAAAAAGATAACATACAACAATCTGATAAGTGATAACAACTGAACAGATCATAGCAATGTTCAAACTCAAGTTACTAATGCATGTCTAACTGAAAATGTATGCATTCACACATAAAATACACATAATACAACGTTTACATTTAAAAATCACCTAAGTTAATAAGTCCCAAAAGGTGAAGTCGGTTGTGATTGAGATTTTGATTGCGATTTTGATTTCCTTTTGCTTGGCACCATATGATCTTTGGATTTTGATGAGGATCCATATTTTGGTAGAGGAAAAGATTATTGTGATGGAACTGGTGATCCACAGGTCAACCTTGTATGACTACTTTCCTTGCACCGACTACATGTCGATATCCTCTTATCTTCACCCTTAGACGGTATATGATCATGATTTTTTTGGTTGGCCAGGTAGCCTGCTCTCTATGGCTGGTGGAAAAACTATTTGTAAGTCATCTGGTATGTCCCACTCAGAAGGATGTGGAATAGGGTAGACAATCTCGGCATAAGTCTGTCGATATACTTCTGTAGTGTAGCAATCCATAGCGTATGCGCTTGAATCATCTTGGTTTAGATGAAGAGAAACTTTTATAACATGGCCACACGGATAACCAGATGTTTGCCATTTCATACAACTACACGTCATTGTATTTAGATCGACAAGACCATTTAAGTTATTATCCAATACTTCAAACAAAGTGTTTGAACATGGTTCAACTCTCCATGACGTTGACTTCACAACACGTTTCGTTATCTTTTTTTCAGTCCATGGTATAACACGACGTTCCAATGTTCCTGTAAATTTAAATAAAAAATACTTAGTAAAATATATAAATATGATAAGTTACGAATTTAAAGAAATAATAAATGCATGGTTTCTTTTCTTGTAGTACCACTGTTGAATAGAGGCTCGAAAAAACTCCATTAACATAGTAATGGGTAATTTTTGGGAATGACGACTTAGAGCGTTGATTGATTCTGCACTATTAGACATCATGAAACCATATATTACTCCAAGTTGATGTACTCTTGACCATATTTCAAACCTGACATCTTCTAGTGTTTGAGCACATTGAGGCAAAACACGTCTTAAACAATTTATATGCTTATTAAAATCCTCTTCCCGATAAGCTTTTACAGCCTTTCAGTATGTCCATTTGTGATTTTTTATACCAGCAGACCTTTATTTTAAATTTTTGTACAAATGAACACCACAAAGTCCATAAAAAAATCTGGGAAACACGTTCTAATAGCGTTGTCAATTGAGTTTGCCCTATCTGATATGATTGTCAGATTGCTAATAAGACCTATACAATCCCTAAGATGCCCCATAAACCATGTCCATGAATCAGAGAGGTTTCAGATTTGCCAACCCCGTAAGCTATTGGTAGTATCCCATTGTTAGAATTCATGGCTACTGTTAATAAGTTTACTCCAAGGTATCGACCTTTCAAATGTGCTCCGTCAACTATAATAACTGGGCACATGCAAGTAATAAACGAACGAATCTACAAAATATTATACACAAGAAATATAATCATTTAAATGTGAAATGCATGTAACTAACAAAAATGAGTCAACAAAATTATATTGATTTACTAACCGCATAACTAATGGTGATAAACAACAACTCAAAGCGTGCATCTCTATCTGTTTTGATATGAGTTACCGACCCAGGATTTTTTAGCTTTAAATTGTGACAATAAGCCGATAGTTGGGCAAACGATGCTTCTGGAGACCCCCTCAACAATTCCAAGGCATAACATTTGGCTATCCAAGCTTGAGAATATGAGATACTAATATTGAACCGAGCATTCATGTCAGTCATAATTTCATGTCCCCGATATACCCTGCCATTCAAAAACATTAACTCAGCCAGAAAACCACCCAATACCTTTTTGTTTTCTTGTCTATGGTGAGGAAAAACTTTGGTTTTTGAACATGTATGTTTATCAATAAAAGTCCTAACTTGAAACATTTCGCAATCTTTTATCCTCTTTGCAATCATACGCCATGTACAGTTTTTGTCAATCATACACTTTGTTTCGAAATGATCTTTACTTGATTTGTTAACTTTTATTTGATAGTCATCTTCCACACATTTCGTATACAAAGCTATCTTCAAGTCTTCCTTTGTATCAAAACAATCATCTTTCTTGATACAAATAACTTTTGTGTAACAATCAACTGTTATCTTTACCAACTCTTCTTCCGGTATCTCAAGTAATTCTGGCATATTCCAGTTATTCTCTCGTGGCATTTTCTTCTTTTTCTTTTCTTCGAGGACTTCTTCTTCTTCTTCTTCTTCAGGGTTATATGAATTATAGAATGGATGTTCAACATGTTCATTCACAGTCGTAACTTCCTCCTCATTATTATTAACAACATCTTCCTCGGCAGCGGCTGCTTCATCATCAAAATTCGGGTATTGACCAATATCAAAATCATTACACACATGGTCTGTTTATTCTTCTGAAACATCATCAAAATCCGAGTATTGACCAAGATCAAAGTCCATGTATTGACCAAGATCAAATTTCGAATACTGACTAGTACTCACAATTTTTTCTGTTGGCTCATAATCGTCTAACTGCTCAATACGAAAACCGAAATTTTGTGCTGAAAGTTTATTGGGATTTGGATTAGGAAAAAGTTGTGGGTTTTGAGAATGTGTTTGGTATTGGAAATGTGGTGAAACAAAATTTTCTTGGTGATGAAATTGTGGTGGAACCATTAAATTTTGAGATTGATAACAACGTTGTACGTTGTGAGCACCATAAACTGAGGTTGAAGAACTTAGTTGATTACTACCCACTACTGACCCAACTTCACTACTTCTAGGTTCAACAACATACAATGTAACATCATCTTCTTGCGAAACACTAATGTAAGCAATGAATCGTTCAACATCTTTATTGTCGGTTAACAAATAAACTTTACCTTTTCTCTGATAAGATAACCTAAATCCACTTAGAGACTCTAAATTCAATTTCTTTGCAACACGTAACATTAGAGTTTCATAAGTTAAATTTTTTAATGACAATTTTAGTTGAAGATTCATAGGTAAAGACATCTATTGTAAAACACCATGAACATTCTCCCATGACCCTCCAAAATACAAATCTATCCAAACATGATCAACATTAGATGATTTCATTCTACAAATTGTAAATTAAGTTACTAAACAAACAAGCTATAAACTACATATCATCACTAACTTAGAGAAAAACATACCTTTATTAAGTTGATAGTTGATAATTTGCGAGAGAAATCATTGAAAAATTATATAGAAATAAAATTATGTAAAACAAATAGAGATGGGGAAGGATGTCGTTGGATATAGGAACGAATGTCGTCGGAGAGAGTGATAGATGAAGATGGATTGAGTTGCAATTTAGGGATTTAGATTATGAGTTGTTGTTGCTGCGTAGTTATATACCCAAAATATTTGTGTTGCGAAAATAAAACCTGTTACGAAATTAAAATTCGTGTTGTGAATTCGAAAATCGAGTTGCGAATTCAGAAAATCAAGTTGCGAATTTGAAATTCAGTATTACGAATTTAGAAATTGCGTTGCGAATTTGGAAACTGTGTTGTGAAATTAGAGTTCATTTTGCAAATTTATTGATCATTTTCGTAAATCTAAAAAAATTTGATTAAAATCGTATATTGTAAAACATGTTCAATTACTAAAGTTTTTTTCTCATATTAAAATTGTTGCGTTCAAGAAACGCATCATATATCTCCAATCATATGCAAAGAAATCCATCATCACTGAATATCAACGGCTCCAACCCCAAACCTTGGATCACCAGGCTCACTGGATAGCAACGAATCAAATCTGGGAAACCCTTTTAACATCAAGATGTTCCTGTATAAAAAAAACCATTCTCATTTCTCCCCGTAGTTATTCTATTTCAACAAAAGGCAGAGTGAAATTTTGAAACCCGAATATGTCGGATGAAGAGCACCATTTTGAATCTAAGGCCGACGCTGGCGCTTCCAAAACCTTCCCTCAGCAGGCTGGCACCATCCGTAAGAACGGATACATCGTCATAAAAAATCGTCCCTGCAAGGTACTATTTTCAATATCTATATTTATTTAATTCTGTTCTTCTTGAAATTTACGGTTTAGATTTATTTATGAATTCTAGTTGAAGTTTTGATGGTTCCGGTTTTTTCTTAGATAACAAAAGCTTTAATGTTTGGAAAATTGAGATCTGATATGTATATATATTAGTATTTCTTTTCTGGAATTAATTGCAAGTATTTGTTGAGCTTTTTAAAGTTTTAGTAATTGGATATGTTTTTTTTACTTCCGAGGTAGCAAAATCAAAGTGAAAAGAAGATAACAAAAAGAACAAGTAAATTAGAGTATATAATATTAAGAAATTAATAGTTTCTATTGAATATTCTAATTATGGTCAATCTTGTTGGAGTGATAAAAGTTATTGGCATGTGATCAGTTAGTTTTTAATGGTTGACTGTTGATTTGCACCCTATGGTTGCTATATAAATTTGGGTTTATGATGATTTACAATTTTAGCTAACTTGATTGTTCTTTTACTGTGGACGTGTGCCAGGTTGTTGAAGTTTCCACCTCCAAGACAGGGAAACACGGTCATGCTAAGTGTCACTTTGTCGGAATCGACATCTTCACTGGCAAGAAGCTGGAAGATATCGTTCCCTCTTCACACAACTGTGATGTATGGAATATGAAATTGATAAATCTTTATAGTTTTTTTCTGATATCTTGGTTGTGTGATTGCTTCGGTGTTGTCGAATGTTTTTGTTCCTGTTTCTACAGGTTCCACATGTCAATCGTACTGACTACCAGTTGATCGACATTTCTGAGGATGGATTCGTAAGTTGTTTTGCTTTGCTTCTGGTTGATGTTGGTTTGTGTGCATGTGGGTTCTTAATTAGTTACACTACTTTGTTTTAGGTGAGTTTGCTGACTGATAGTGGAGACACGAAGGATGATCTGAGGCTCCCAACCGATGAGAGCTTGTTGAAACAGGTCAATTAACTGCCTTTTTTCCTGTTGTGTTTTTGGCAAATGACTTTCTATTGAGATGTGCATTTTGTTGTCTAATTTACTGATATTTGGGTTCCAAGTTCGAATACTTTGTATCATACCGTGCTGGTGCAGTCCCTTTGGCCACATTGCTCTTGTGTCAAGGGGATCCACTGGCATCACAAGTTGGTCCCTTTTTCTTTAAAGAAGAAAGCAAGTAAAACTTATGCCTGAGAGGGTTTCATGTTTCGTTTTTGTTTTGCATTTTTGTCCTCTCGATGTGAGCATCCTGACTGAGGAATATAGTTGGTGTAATATGTTTAAACGTACTTCATTTGCATTTCTCATTCTTGATTTGCTGAAGCTGAGATTGGATTTCTATATACCATGATGATAGTTATATATTGGCAAAATGCAGATCAAGGATGGGTTTGCAGAGGGGAAAGACCTGGTGGTGTCGGTTATGTCGGCAATGGGTGAGGAGCAGATCTGTGCTCTCAAGGACATTGGTCCGAAATAGTCAGAGATCGATTCTCAGTATGTTATTGCAATCTTAAATGGGATTATTTTTATAAGAGCTTGAATTGCTTTGCATTTTCAAGACATGGGTAAGTATAACTATAATACTGTCTTTTGTTTGGATACTAATAGAAGGAAAAAAAAAAACATCAATACTTGTTTGCTGTTGTACTTAGATGGCTGCTGGGGCTCTATCAAATGTACCTTCCTACCATGCATTCTACCTAAATGCACTGTGACAATGGAACCAAATAAGTCTTTTGGCATCATAATTCTTATATTCATGTCGTGTTCGAGTTATTTAATATATTATTCGTGCCGAATACGAGATTGTTTGCAATTGAGGTGTTTAGTCGTCATTTGAATGCGTTGGGGTGGAAAAGCCTCCTTTAGCAGTGCGGTGAGAAAAGGGAGAAAATGACTAATGGGTGGGTGAGTAAAACTCGACTAGAGGAACGGGATATTTTGATTTGACTTTACTCGAAAAAAACTCGACTTGAATCGAGTTCGAGTTGTAATTTTATAAACTCGACTAAACTCGAAAAATTTTTTAAGTTTAAATCAAGTTGTAAAATATAAATTAATAACTAGAAAATTTTAGTAATTAACATATTGGTTTTTAAGTTTGAGTTGAATGTCTCGGCTTTGCATCATACATATATATATATATATATATATATATGAACTATAACGAAAAAATATATATGCATTGTATATGATTATAAAAATTTGTTTAAATTAAAATTAAATAATATTATAATATTATAAATATTTATAATTATTAAATAGAAATTCAAATAGTTCAACTTGATTCAAATAAATTTGATTTAAAAAAATTTCAAGTCCAATTCGAGTTATAAAATAGGATTATTCAAGAGAGCTTGAAATTTTTTAAATTGGCTTAATTCTATTGAACGCTCGTTCCTATTAATTGGTCATTATGTTTACATGAACATAAATACGGGTGAGTAAAATTCGTAAAGACTCATAAAAATTAATTTTTTTTAGCTTGACTTGATTTAAAATCTGTAATTTGATTCGAAAAAAATTTAAATAATGTATGAATTATGAAATAAGATTTAAATAATTTAAAACTTTTATTAATTAGTAGATTGATTTTTAAGTTTGAGTTTATATATATATGATTTTAAAAAGGTAAATTACACCGTTCCTCATTGAATTATACTCTCTTTTTTTTTTCCTCACCCAACTTACAATTTTTCTATTTTGCTCACTAAACTCTACATATTGAATCATTTTGCTCACTCTATCATTAACTATTTAACGGCGTTATGACGTGCCACAATCATCAAAACGACGTCATTTTGAAAAACTCAAATATACACCAAAACGACATCGTTTCAACCCCTATATTAAAAGTTCGATGAGTGGAATAGGAGATGGAGTAAAGTTCATTAAGGAATTGTGTAATTTATCCTTTTTCTTTTCTTCTTCATTTTCTCTCCGTCGCTCACTATGTCATTTTCATTCTAGCCACTGTCCACCATCGTTAACGGTGGCTCTTCAGTCTCAAATTTCATGGGTTGGTTCATCTTGACCCCCCTCAGTCTGAATATGTTGGCTGTTTTGACCAAAAATGTCTCAAAACTCGTGAATCTCGACTGAAACGTTTCAACCTCATCACTTTCAATCTCAAATTCGTGGACTTTGGAGCAACTTCCAAGAAAATGGAGGTCGAATTTCAAATCATGATGTCGAGGCAAAGCGACCCATGAAATTTGGGACCAAACGGTCACTATCTACGGCGGTCGACGGTGGCATCCGACCACCGTTTGGTTTTTTTTGTTTTTTCAATTATTTTATATTAAAAATAATAAAAATGCCACTTCATCCAGCTGCTAGAGAGAAAACGAGGAAGTGATTAAAATGATTCAATATGTAAGTTTAGTGAGCAAAATAGAAAAATTGAAAGTTGGATTAGAAAAATAAGAAAGAGTATTGTTCGATAAGGTACGGTGTAATTTACCCTTATAAAAAATCATTTACATTGAAATCAATTAAAATGTAAATTATGATTTGAATTTAAACATAAATTTAAATGATTTACTCGATTCAAAATTAATAAATTAAGTATACATTAAGGAATAACATTTTAAAATTAAATTTAATTTTAAAATTAAATTTAAATTCATATTGTCGACACTAATTTTCGCCCATACATTATATGTATATATACACTATGATTATCTTATTTAAACTAATACATATTTTTTACAGGCCCAAATACACCCATCACCCATTACAAGCTCAGATGACAAAAGCAAACCCAGACCCGAACCGGCCCAGATCAGTTAGGGTTCTCAAACCCTAATATGCTACTTCGTTGTTTCAGTGCCGCAAAGAGGAGTTCCGATCCAGCCGCCTCCAACAACCCGAGTTTCCTGACGTTTCCTCGGCATCAAGTCAAGCAACACAACAAACAGTCTTTTAGTTCGAATACAACTCTAGGAAAATCAAAACTAAAAATAGTAAACTCTAGACTATAAATAAGCATGTAAATCGAACACAATGGACGCAAAATTATCAAGCAAACACGAGAAGCATACGAAACGATATGTAAAAACCTTTAAGAAATAAAGAAGGCATTTTTTTCTTACCTCATGCGTATAATGGCCGTTGCATGTATCTTCATTTTTTTCTTTTATTTTGCTTCGAAAAACCGATGAACTAGGGGAGGGTTCGAGAGTTTCAAACTCAAATCTAGCCCTCCCCGAGGCTAGTTTTTAAAAAGGTTCGGATTTTCAAGATGGGGAGGGGAAGAGCTTTCAAAAAAAATGTAATTTTTTTTTCTACCACCGCAGATGAACGACGGCTGGTGAGTCAGTGGTTGGCCGGAAACTGGGTATTGGTGGTGGTGTTCTTCATTCCTCTAAGAACATGAAGAACACCCAGAGGATTTTTTTGGGTCAACTTTTGATCTTTTGAGGAGGGAATTATGAAAATCTGTTTATGGTTTTTGACTTTTATAGTCGACCTGCTAACCGGGTTTTTGACCCGCGTGTTGACCCGATCCACTCTTAGGATCCGCACGTTTTCAATATAAAAAGGGAAAATTCTATTTTTGGTCCCCCATTGTTTTTAGAAGTCCATTTTGGCCATAAATTGAATTTATATCCCGATTTTGCTTTGAAATTTAACACCCAACTTGGTTTTCTTTCAATTTGGCCCCTTCACGTTTTAATTTCTTTCTTTTATTCTTGTTTTTATTTATTATATATATATATATATATATTATTTTTTCTATTCTATTCTTTTTTTATATATATTTTTATTTTCTTTATCTATATTGTATTTATCTTATTTATCTTTATTTTATTTTTATTTTTTTTATTTTTTTAATTTTTTATGTTCTTTATCTTTATTTTCTTTATTTTTTTCTTTATTTTTTTCATTATTTATTTTCTTTATCTTTTCTTTATTTTTTATTTTCTTTATATTTTTTTATTTCTTTATTTATTTTTATTTTATTATTGTTTTTATTTATTTATTAATTATATATATTTATTTATTTTCTTTATTTTTATCATTATTTTTTTCTTTTATTTTCTGTATCTTGTTTATTTTATTTACTTTTTTATCTTTACATTATCTTTATTTATTTTTCTTTATATTTATTTTATTTTCTTTATCTCATTTTCTTTATTTAATTTGTTTTTTTATTTTTTTATTTTCGTTACTTTTTTTTCCTTTTTTCTATCTAGCACGTTTCTTGACTTCTTAAGGGTATACTTTTAAATCCGCAAGAGGTAAGCAATTTGGATAATATTTTACCTTTTAATCTAACTGGAAATTAATTAGTACCGAAAGGACAATTCAAAGGTGTTAATCCTTCCTTGATTGTAACCGACTCCTGAATCTGACATATCTTTAGTAAGACGCATATCAGGTAAGATGGTGTCCGATCAACCTAAGTAATGTTTTAAAAATGATCGATGGTGACTGTAACGTGTTCTATTTAAGTAGAAGCCCAATTCCGGGCCCACCCGAAAGACGGTCACGGCAACTTGGCGACTTTGCTGGGGACTGGTAAATGAGTCAGGCTAAGGTTAATTTTCAGTTGTCTTTTTAATGAAAATGGTAAGTTTAAATTTTAACGTTACTTTTCGATCCTTATTGCTTAGTTTTGATTTTTTTTTCAATAAAATAGTTGTATTGACGATTTCTTTCAGTGGTTTCAGCTTATCAAACTTGTTTTTCCATTTAAGGCTCTATACCTGAGCTCTGAACCCTGTTTAAGTGGGGGTAAAAGTGACGTCTTCGCGAGAATTTATTCTCCGTGCGGTCCTAGCAAGTAGCCTTTGGGATTCATATACCTTATGTCTTCGTGAGAATTTATTCTCCGTGCGGGCATAAGGGAATGTATCATCTCGAGTTTAACTTAGTCCACATGAGCTTGTAATGAGTTTAGGACTAAGGGTCTGGCCCAAGGGGGCACCGACAAGGAGAACTCGGGTACTTTCTTTAGAACCTAAACCGGGAGACGACGAGGAATTAGAGCCTACCCCAAAACTCCATTTCAAAACCTAGGATGTTTTCACCTTAATCATGCAGCTTGTTATTTTCATTTATATTTACTTTCATCATTTATATTTTTTTATCTTACTAACTTTGTGCTTTCGTGTTTATCTTTCTAGCATTTGCATCATAAAAGAGGTTATTGATCCATAAAAAAGTGTTAGTTTTACACAAATAATCTACATTAATGGACAAAGGGGTTGTAATGCAAGAGGTAAAAAATGATGTGGTACGACTATGGTCCGAAAAGACCTAAAAAGAAAAGGGAGACAGTCTTCAAGGAAGCTATGTGTCAGAACTGGTTAGCTACGCCTCTGTCATCCTAAAGCAGAATGATGTAAAAGAGCTACGGAACATGTGGGATAGTTGGAAGAGTGACCGAAAATAGAAATTCAGCCAGCAATATGGTGATATTGCACTCTTGCTTTATGTCAAGACTGATGAGCCCCTAATCAAAGCATTGATTCAATTCTAAAATCCGAGATACAACTATTTTACCTTTAACCATGAGGTCATGGTGCCCACAATCGAGGAGTATACTACACTACTACATTGTGATAGCATTAGATTGGAACGGGTCTATATCAAGCACATCAAAAGTCAGCCTTTCAAGAACGGACTGGCGAAGGTTACAGGGGTAGATGAAAAATGGGTAACTGACCGACTCCGGCGCAAGGGTAGCGGGGAAGGATTTGAGTGAATCCATATTAAGTAACTAATGATGAACCACCCCGATGAATGCAAGGCAATAGATCTCTTTGCATTGGGCTTGTATAGTTTGGTTATTTTCCCAAAGACTTTGGGGTGCATTGATGCAGCTGTGGTGGAACTGTTTGAATAACTCCCCAGGCGAGTAAATCCAGCACCAACCATTTTAGCTGAGACCTTCCGCTCTCTCAACCACTACAGAAAGACTGGCGGAGGAAGGTTCATAGGGTGTGCTCACATTCTCTAAGTCTGGATTCACATCCATTTCTGGAAGACTAACAGGATTTCCTACCACCGATTAAGCACCACTTATTCATCTTTAGGAGAATTTATCACTCTGAAATGGCATGAGGGTGCCTCAAAGGAAAAATGGATGAAAGTCTTTACACATCTTCAGGAAGGTTCATAAGATGGTAACTGATATTATAAAAATATCATATCATAAAAATTATGATTCGTTATAACAAATTTAATTCGAAAGTTTTTTTTATAGTGAATAGTGAACAGTGAACAGTGTCCAATGTACAGTGGATAGTGACTAGTGGGGGAATCGGTTCCCCATTTATATACTGGATATTTTTTATAAAATGTGGTTACTATTCATACTACAATACTGCTACAGTAACTTTCGAAAATACATATAAACTCAATAAAATTCTATTTTTGTTTCCAAATTTATTTAACAAAACAAATAAAACATTTATAATTACATGCCACTAATAAAATTAACATTACAACTTAGGATGTCTTTACTGATATTGAAATATACTTATCGATGCTTGATGTCATTCCAAACTCTTTATTCTACTACTGTTTTTTACCTACGCGTGAAAATCATCACACACTAAGTATAAACTTAGTGAGGCAATTAAAACATAAACAGTGCAATACAATTCATGCATGATTTTCAATGTTAAATTCAAAATGCCATAAAATCATTTTATTTGCATATCCAATATTTTACCATTTATTAACCATAAGCTCATAAGCTTATTTTACCAAAAATACTTACCATTTATCTCATAAGCTTATAAGCTTATTTTACCCATATACTTACCATTTAATTCCATAAGCTCGTAAGCTTATTTTACCAATACACTTGCCATTATTCCATAACCATATACCATAGACAATAGCCATAAACAATAGACAATAGCCCAATATACAACCCTGAGGACCTTGGGTACACGAGTCAAATATAAGCACCGTAGTGCTAATCTGTATGACACATAAGGTCGTGTCCACTATAATCCGTATGACACATAAGGTCGTGTCCACCATCTATTCTAGGTATCATTAAGTACAGTCTCGTATGACACATAAGGTTGCCACCATATACACTAGGTATCCTTTAGTGTATCCCGTATGCAGCCTGTTGTTGGACTCTATGGCGTGCCAACTATACCCTGTCCCTCAATGACTTACTTGGGCATACACTCTATTTTATTTGATCAATCCATGGCAAATTATATTATCAATATTTAACATTGGGCAGTTCATACCCGAAATAACATTCATGATAAAAATCATATATGTTCATAATAACATCATATGCAAAAATCAGTGATCAATGCATTTTATTTTCAACCTTTGACATATTTAGAATATATCAAATATATGATAAATGACATAAATATCATGTCAACATAAACAAGGTCGACTTATCGCAAGTCTTCCTGATGATGTATAAAACATCCATGTATAATGTCATGCATGTATTTCACTCACCTTGACACTTTATAATTTTCCAAATTTATGCCTCACTATTGTCCACAATAAACCCACTTGACTTGTTTCAATCGCAAATCAATCATAATCTGTATAATTCACAATTTCATAATGATATATATGTTAGTATTTTACTAACATAAACATATCCCAAATAACTCCATAATAATTTTGATACTCATTATCTATCAAAATACGTAACTCTTAATAATTCCTTTTAACCTTGTAACCAACTTTTCCAATTTACCCAAAATGGCCCTTCACCATTTTACCACTTAGATTCTTAATACCAATAATTCCAGCATAGTACATCAATTACACAACACTTATAGAACAACCCATCAATTTTCCATATTCAGACAACTCGTACTACCTTTAAAGAATCAGTATTATGTATTGATATACACACTGGAATTCAATTCCGTTTATTCCTTTGAAAACTAGACGCGAATAGGAATCTATTCATATAAAGAAATCATTCTAATTCATTCTTTACAATTTATGGTTAATTTTCAAAGTTGATCAACAAAATCTATTTTGCAGAATCTGCTGTCCGATTTTTCTGACCTTTCATTGGTTAAAAATTCATATCTTTTTGTATACACCTTGAAATTGATCCCCGTTTATTTAAAAAAAAAACTAGATTGATATATGAACACAAATATATAAAAATAACCTCGAAATTATTTTTATATAATATCTGGTGAATTTTCGAACCTACTGCCAGATTCAAAATCCAAACTGTTTTCTTTAACTTCATTCTTAGGTTCTTCATCAATTCTTACAATCAATTCTTTAAAATCACTTAACTCTTAAAAACCCATAAAAAACAAGAATCAAAATCCCCTTCATCAAATCAAGATGAACTTGAACATGAAACCCTAGTAATATTCATGTCAAAATGTAGAGAATTGAATGTAGAACATTTTTCCTAATCACACCGAAGTCTAATTCTCAACAAGATTGCTTCAAAATTCAAAACAAGAATACCTACCTTGCAAGCTTGGGGGTGTCGGTCTTGGATGAAGAAGAAGCTGAAATTGCTCTTCAATGATTGATATTTTATAATATAATAGATCTAACATATGCTTAATAATATATCATAGAATTTTTTTATTCAACACCATAGGAAATTCCATTTTTGCCATTAATGAATATCCATAATCACCATAAAACCAAGCCATTTGATCCTTATCATATTAAAAAGTCAAATATGAATTAATTTGACTTTGACCTACGAAAATGCCATGAAATTTTCAAAACTTGCGTTTTAGTCACTAAATTCCACTGTTTTGGTTAAATCTAAAAAATTGCACATTTCCAAACCAAATTTCTCTGATCCAAAATATTAAAATAAGATTTCCAACCATTTTATAAAATCCTTCCAATTTTTGTTAAATTCCAATTTGTTCTGAAATACTGATTTCCTTACCAGCTTTAACCCTTTCTAGTTTTTCTTTACTAAAATTCCAAATCCAAAATATATGATTTCTATAAAACTCTACTCTCAAGAGTAAACCATCTATTATGGAATAAAATTATTTTTAGGAAATTTATCACATAATTCCCTAAATATTTTCCTAATTTTCTACTTTGACCATCAAACTTTCAAAATTTTCATTTTGGTCATTGTCTAAATTTTTGGGGTATTACAAACTCCAATCTGAAAAGGACTTCTAAGTACTGGAAAGGCGAAGCCAGTAGCTTAAGAAGGAAGTTTGAAGGGCATGATGAAATAGAGACTCTGAAGGAACATCTAAAGACTGCTCAGAGGTGTTTGATAGACAGTCAACATCAGAACAAGCGCTTGAGAATCCAGGAAGCTGACTTAGAGAAGTCTCTCTAGAAACAACAAGAACGGGACAACAAAACCATAGCTGAGTTAGAAGCCATTGTGGACGGATTCAAGAAACAAGCAAGCGAGCTTCAGACAATGCCCTTTGACGGAGGTTTACAGTGACGTTTTCGTTGGGAACAAGCTCAGGAAAGGGTGAAGGCTAGAGATGCAGTTATCCGTGATTTCATATAGCAAGTACAGAAGGGAGCTCGTCATTTGCATGGTTTAAAAAGGGAAGCCGAAGTGGTTCGACAAGGCATTCAACTAGTGACAGATGAAGGAAGAAGACTTGTCAACCTATTAGAAGTTGTTCGAGGTCTAGAGGATTTAGTCCGGATGTACCTTTAGATTATTTTGTCTCTTAAAAGATAAAACACTTTTGTTTAAATAAGTACTATTTATAATAACAAACACATTTTTGGATCAATGCCCCTAAATTTCATACATCATGCATCTCATACTTTGCATTTTATTTTCCATATTTATTTTTCTTTTTTCCATGTTTTTACATTCATATTAACTAACAGAAAATGTCTCATCAGAAGAAAGAACAAACGCCAAGTTTGCCTCCATAAACTCTAGACACGTATCATCCGTACAATACCAAAACAAAGAAAAGACAAATGGAGGCCATAATCGCTCAAATCGAGGAGAATATGTTGAAGCTACATAGATAGCTAAAAGAAAAGATAACTCAGAATAGTCAGAGCACCCTAGACACAATCACGAAAAGCCAAGAATCCTTGGTCGATCAAATTGTGGCCAAGTTATATGGTTTACAATAAGCGAGTGTACCAGGGGCAGGTTCGTCTAAAGGGGTAACTATACCACCGACCCCACAGGTGGTTATTTCACCCGAAATATTACCCGGACTACAAGGGGACTTATCTATGGCAAAAGGAAAAGCCTCATCTGTTGCAAAGATACAAACTTCTGCAACCAACCCTGACAATAATCTGGACGATTACCATATCCCGTATTTTGATGAGGAAGACAAAGCAAAGAAGATGTAAGAAAAAATTAAACTGTTGGAAGACCAAATAAAGACGATCAAAGGGGACTATGATTACTACAGAGTAGATGCATTAGAGCTATGCCTAGTCTCAGATTTGGTGCTTCTACCAAAGTTTAAAGTCCCCGAATTCAAGAAGTTCAATGGAAACAGTTGCCCTTCAGCCCACATCACTATGTTATGTCAGAAGATGACAAGATACGTGGGAAATGATCAACTCCTGATTCATTACTTCTAGGAGAGCTTGTCCGGTTCAGCCATACGGTGGTACCATCAGCTAATCCGATCCCATATCAAGACTTGGAAGGAATTAGCCAAGTCATTTATGGAATAATACAAACACGTCAATGACATGAGGCCAGATTGAGCTATGCTACAAGGCATGAAAAAGAAGCGTAACGAAAGTTTCAAAAAATAAACACAAAAATGAAGGGATTTGGCTGTGCAAGTTCATCCACCCTTGGATGAGAAATAAAATCGGAGGCTCTTCATGCAAACACTGAAGGCTCCTTACTTCAGGTACCTGGTTGCAATCACATCTGGTAATTTTTCAGACTTAGTCATGACCGGAGAAATGGTAAAACGGCCATAAAACAAGGCAAGATTGAGGAAGGAGAGGCAAGCAAGAAACCCCCTATGAAGAAGAGGGACATAGAGATTAACAACATCAACACCTACAACACTAATAAAGATGTTACAATCTTCAACCCAAAATCAACTGCAGTTGTACCGTCAGGTATTTCTAGGCAAGATTCTAGAGAACATAAGAAGAAAATGAAAAGGGAACATTTCAACCCTATTCCCATGACCTACAAAGAGCTTTACCAACAACTTTTTGACACCCACGTAGTGTCACCATATCCGGTGGAACCCATGAATCCCCCTTACCCCAGATGGTATGATGAGAACGCTAACTGTGAATACCATGGAGGTATCCCAGGGCACACTATTGAGAAATGTTATGAGTTCAAGATAATTATGCAGAAGGTGCGTAAAAAGGATTGGATCGACATCAATAACTCGGGGGCATCCAAGTGAGGAGAAAGATCATTTTATCATTTGCAGCATTTTGTTTGAATTCGTTTTTTCTTTTCTCAAGCTTTCTTTTTGTTTTGTAAAGAGATTTAAATGAATTCATGCTACTTTAACAATAACGAGAAATGAATCAAATTTGCAGACTTGAAATTCTTTGAATATCAGCTGAATTAAAAAACTCTGCAAATGATTTGGGATTACATATATCTTTGACAAAGTGACATAATTAAAAATCAATAAAACAAAGGAATTTGACCTTACCCCAGAAGATACGCTCGAACACCGTACCCTTCTCTTACAAGAACCGATATAGCCTTCTCCTCTCGTAAGGGAATGAACAAGAGGCTTGGTATTTAGGTATGCATACGAGCGGACAACATGTGGCATCTTTTGCATATGAAATTACTATACTTTTGTTTAAGACATTCAATGATGATGATGATCTTCGCAGATGGAATGGTCGAGTAGGTGAATCTAGTTTAAGTCAATTGCTTGGAAATTGAACTCTAAAGATGAAATTTTTGACTTTCAATAAACACCTAGACTATGACATGTTCTTCTTGACAATCTTAAGAAATTGAATCCGTAAAAACTGAGCTATTCCACTAAAGTAATTGGTTATAGAGGAAACTCGAAAGCCCTGGATTTATGAATAGATTGCATTCAAACCATGACATTGCTCAAACACTTGGCAATTCGGTGTTTGCTCCACTGCAATTGTTAGGCCGAAGACTTTGTGATGAGATGAACCCTTCAGTTAATATGATATTAAGCTGTCCCTCTAAAGCAATTGGTTAAACGCCCCGAATTTATGGATAAGATTCAGCTAGCCAGACAATGACAAATTAAATTTATCTAAATAAGGAATTTCGGTAAAGATGGACTAAGGGAGTTAAAGAAGACTTGTTATAGTCAATTTCACATGAGCACCCAAGAATTTCATTTTTTAGACCGATACTTCTGCACTGCCTTTGTTAGAGGAGCCTACAAAGCTTGAACAAATGGAAGATTTCAGAGGATCGAAATAGAAGGTCTAGTAATTGATTATGTTAGTTACGTCATTTTGTCTGCATCCGATTAAAATGACAAGCCGATAAAGAGGGGCATGTTGTGATGTTAAAAAAATGACACTTTGGTGGCCAAAATCTTAGAAAATAGGAAGCCAACCTGAAACCAACTCATCAACTTGAACATTTTTCAAAGAGTTATAACTCTGAAAGTATTTAAGAGTTATTGATTCTTTTGATTTTCTATGAACCCATGTTTATGTTTTGATTCGATTGCAAGCCTGAATTAAGGGGCAATGTTTTATAGAATTCTTATATCTTTTTCCCTCCTAAAATAAGATAAAGAAGAAAAACATTTTCAACCAAGACAGTCTCAAATGTGAAAGGTTGCAACCCAATAAGAAATGGGGCATGATCGATTCCAAGGACCAGATCGGTAGACAAAGCACGAGACTCTGTCCAGGAGATAAAACAGAACTAATTCATGTTACATGCATCTTATACATGCTTAAGAGCATCACATTTATCATTTTTTGCATATATATATTTTTTTTCAGATTTTAGAGTCAAGTTTCAACTTTAAGAAGAAAGATACTCGATTTAAAAGCACCTTCAGAAATTGATGTTGGTTGCTTAACTTAGCATCGTGGAGCTACACCTCAACAGATTTGACCTATTGAAAGACCGACAGATCTTAGAATCAAATTCAGATGGGTTTGAGTACCAATTCAGAACATATCCAGTTAAGCTTAACTCAACAATGAGTAGCTAGTTTCCAGTTAACATTTTCAAGCCAGATTTCAATTCCACGACGGATGATATCCGACTGATAGAATTTATCAATGAGCTTTCCCGTGAAAGGGAGTCATCTAAATATTTAAGATCGACTTAGGCCAACGAAGGGGGGCTATCCTTCATTTAGAGGAGAGTTACAACACAACTTAAGTCGAGAAAAGTTGTTTGTCAACAAGCAACTTTCCAGTTTTATTTGGAGCCAATTTCAACTTCACAGTGAAGGATATTGGACTCGAAACAATGCAACTTTCACAAGATTGAATTTCAACTTCACAACGAAGGATATCCAATTAAAAGCTCAACTTCACAGCGAATGAGCCATCCATGATTTCAACTTCACGATGAAGGATATTGTGCCCAAGTGTATTGACTCAATTTCACAGCAAATGAGTCATCTTCAACAATAGGGGGTTATCTCCCATCCTATTACAACATAGCTCAAGGCGTGAAGGGCTATCTGTCAACAAATACCTTTGAGTTCGATTACATTCATCTCAAGGGCATGTCAAATTTACAGTATAGCTTAAGTCGAGAAAAATTATTCTGTCAACAAAAACTGTCGAGTTTGACTCCATTCAGCTCGATGACATATCAACCACATGATAGCAACAAGGAACTACTTTCCGGCCAAAATTTTTACTCCAAGGTCTTTAAGTCAATAAGAAGACCAAGGTCAAGAGTAGCAACAAGAAGTCACTTTTCGATTTTCCTACGATTTCAACTTCACAACGAAGAATATCGTTCCCAAAAGATTGACCCAACTTCACGACGAAGGAGTCATCTGTAACACAGCAACACCGAAGTCTTCAAGACAAGTTTCAGCTTAACAACAAAGTGTCTTGGACTAGAAGACGATCTAGGAGCTACTTGCCAAAGCTTTGAGTTCGGTTTCAACTTCGCGACGAAGAATATCGTGCTCAGAGTTTTCCTTTCAACTCAACCTCATAGTGAGGGAGTCATTTCACGATTTAATCCAAATTGCCAAACCAGTCTTAACATCGAATTTCAACTCCATGACAGAGGACATTCGATGAGATGGAGGATGTTAAATGCATGGATACATTTATAGATGAAAATTGTGTCTTGTAATCTTTGCCCTATTCCCGTTACACGACTATGGGCAAAGAGGGGCAACTGTGGACACTAATTTTCGTCCATACATTATATATATATATATACTATGATTGTCTTATTTAAACTAATACATGTTTTTTTACAAGCCCAATTACACCCATCATCTATTACAAGCCCATATGACCAAAGTAAACCCAGACCTGAACTGGCCCAGATCAATTAGGGTTCCTAAACCCTAATCTACTAATTAGTTATTTCAACACCGCAAAGAGGAGTTACAATTCAGCCGCCTCCAACAACCCGAGTTTCTCGGTGTTTCTTTGGTATCAAGTCAAGTAACACAACAAATAGTCTTTTGGTTCGAATACAACTCTAGGAATATCAAAACTAAAAAAAGTAAACTCTAGACTATAAATAAGCATGTAAATGGAACACAATGGACGGAAAATTATCAAGAAAACATGAGAAGCATAAAAAAAGATTTGTAAAAACCTTGAAGAAATAAAGAAGGTATTTTTTCTTACCTCGTGCGTATAGTGGTCGTTGCATGTAGCTTCATTTTCCCTTTATTTTGCTTCGAAAAGCCGATGAACTAGGGGAGGGTTCTAGAGTTTCAAACTCAGATCTAACCCTCATCGAGGCTAGTTTTTAAAAAAGGTTTGGATTTTCGAGATGGGGAGGGGAAGAGTTTTCAAAAAAATACAAAAAGTTTTTTTGCCACCACCGATGAACGGTGGCCGGTGCCGATATATGGTGGTCGGTGAGGCGGTGGCTGGCCGGAAACTAGGTATTTGTAGCGGTGTTCTTCATTTCACAAAGAACATGAAGAACTCCCAGAGGATTTTTTGGGTCTGCG